TCCTTGGAGCAGATATGTGGTGACATCCATGGACAGTTCTATGACATGAAAGAGCTTTTTAAAGTTGGGGGTGATTGCCCTAAGACCAATTATTTATTTCTCGGCGATTTTGTTGATCGAGGTTTTTATTCAGTTGAGACATTTCTACTTCTTCTAGCTCTCAAGGTAATAAATAGCCCACCCAACAGTGTTTTACTTTTGTGGTTTGCTCCAAGATCCGAATGGGCTCTAGAATCTCTCAAGTTGGTTACTTTTTTCATATTCTCAGGTTAGATATCCAGACCGTATAACTCTCATTAGAGGGAACCACGAGAGCCGGCAAATTACACAGGTGAGTTTCAGTCTTTTTACAAAAACTTTGATGCTTGTGTATATTTACAGGCTATTTAAGAGTTTTCTTTTAGTAGGTATATGGATTTTATGAAGAGTGCCTGCGTAAATATGGCTCCGTAAATGTCTGGAGATACTGCACAGATATCTTTGACTACTTGAGGTACACACCCCTTAATTCTTTGGTGTTGGAGCTCAGAGTTATTATTATTTCGATTAATTGTAACGCAAACTTCCTCTCTTTTATATGTTCTCTTGTAGAGAATAAGATATTTTGTGTTCATGGAGGCCTTTCTCCAGCTATTATGACTCTAGACCAGGTTGAGAAAGTGCTGATATAATTAGAAGGTTTTAGCTATAAGGATATAACTGACTAAGTCTGTTCATACATTTCTTTTGGCAGATCAGGACGATTGATCGAAAGCAAGAAGTACCACATGAGGGTGCCATGTGTGATCTTCTATGGTCTGATCCAGAAGATATTGTGGATGGCTGGGGGTTGAGCCCCCGTGGTGCCGGATTCCTTTTTGGCGGTAGCGTTGTAACGTCTTTTAACCATTCAAACAACATCGATTACATATGCCGAGCTCATCAGCTAGTTATGGAAGGTTACAAATGGATGTTCAATAGCCAGCTAGTCACTGTTTGGTCTGCCCCAAATTACTGTTATAGGTAACTAAATACTCAGAAGTCAGAGCCATATAAATGTGATCTTGTTTCATAGGGCTTGAGTGTTTATGTTACATGTGTTTGAATGTGATCCAGATGTGGTAATGTAGCCGCAATTCTAGAGCTCGATGAGAATCTAAACAAGGAGTTTCGAGTCTTTGATGCGGCCCCACAAGTAATAACCTGAGACCTATCCAACCTCCTGTCCAATTCGGGTTTAATTTGTCAGACATAATATGACTATGGATGCAGGAATCGAGAGGAGCTCCAGCCGAGAAACCTGCACCTGATTATTTTCTGTGAGACGCAAAACGGTGAAAACAGAAACTGGAACTCAGAATTGGTTCGTTCTTCTCAATGGATTGCAGAGCAAGAAAAGTTGCCAAAATCATGGGTGTTTAGATTGTAAAATCCAAGTGTTGCCATAGAGAAATCTCTACATATTCATTTTAAAGGGTCCTTTTTGAAAGTATCCTGTTTTTATGAAAAGCCTTTTGTTTCTTTTTCTCTCTGTGTGATGCTACCTTAACAAAAAGGAAAAGGGACAAAAAAAAAAAAGCTGTGAAGGAAGAGACTCTCAGTTCCGAAACCCCACTGATTGATACAGAGAAGAAGAAGATGATCACT